GTATATTTGTGTTATTATATTTATATAGCTTGTAAATACTGTAATAAACGGCCTCTTGAAAAGCAGGTGCCTACGAGCCCTGAAGAGCTACCGTTTTAAAATATTTTTAAATAATAATAATAATAATAAACCATCTTATCAGTATTGAAGGCCTTACCAAAATTTCCATATTTGTCAATCGCAATTACACCACCATGCCCATTGACAAGATCTTTCATTTTCTTCAAGGCACTTTCTGCAGACTCCTGTGGTGAAACATGGTTAATTGGTAAGCAAAGAATGTGTAAAATATGTCTATATTTGAATCAGACGGTCGTTCAGTCCAGCATTCACATAACGCGAATATTTAGGGGCTGTTTATATGATTAAGTTTACTGAGACGTCACGTTCACTTCCAATGGGACGAGTATTTCCGTCGTGCATTAATATGAAGTTTAGCAACATGTTTTAATCGAGAAAATGGAAATTCGGATTTTTGTTTTTTCATCTCGATATGATATAAGCGGGGTGGCGTGTTCATATGAAAACCTATGTTTACGCAGACGGACGCTTCCTCGTCTGAATGCATGCGATGGAAACGGTTTAATAGTAAAATTACTTCGAGGTGAGATCATAAGCAGGTGAGAAATTTCGGTTATTAGCGTGCTCATTTGAACATGTACAGGCTCTCTGCAATTAGTTATAGATCGTGCGATATGCATGTTCACAATCGTCTTAAGGCTGGTTTATATACACTGGCAATTTTTGCTGCGATTATAAATGCGATTTTCTTCTTCTGACGGATGTGAACGAGTGGACAAATTATGAATGTTCAGATGAAGGTACCTGTGTACTCCGAACATTCGTAACTCACCTACTCGTTCACGTGCATCACAAGGAGAAAATCGCACTAGAAATCGCAACAAAAATTCCAAGTGTAAACGAGCCTTTAGACTTCTTTGTTGTTTTGTAGTGGAGAAATAGTATTATAATGCAAATTTCGAAACTGTGGCCAGAAATCACAGGCATAATTTATTCTACTTCCTTACTAATTAGCAGATCACGTTTTCTCAGATTTACAACATCGCGTAATATGATTTGCAGTTTACTGTTAAATACATATTTCAACATGCTATGCAAATTAGCAAAGAAGCAGAATATTCATGTCCGCGTGATTTCTGGCCATGCCTAACCTGAGCATTCTGTCCATTCTCCATATTGTAAACAACATCTCTTGCCAAAGTCACTTTCATTATTGACTCTCCGTCTCCAGTTGTCGTTGCTCCTCCTACTTTATTTGCATAACCTCCGCAACCAACCAATGGTGCATCACCAACACGACCTTTAAATTTTCCTGCTATGCCACCTAAATGAAGGAAAACATGCCATTGAAGTTGTTGGTGTTACATTTGCAGCTGCTGTTGCTGTTGCTGTTGTTGTTGTTGTTGTTGTTGTTGTTGTTGTTGTTGTTGTTGTTGTTGTTGTTGTTGTTGTTGTTGTTGTTGTTGTATTTTTCCTGTTGACTTCAATGAAGGGAAATTTTAAAAACAGCATTTGGGCATGTTATCGTCGTCCAAACTTCGAAAATCGATTGATGGTAAAGATTATAAATATGTGCTTATCTCCAAAAGTTTTCATTCGACTCAAAGTTGAGCATTTGAATATACAGCGTTGGGAAGTAAGGTATTTTTATGTGTTAAATTTTGCCTCGTTACACCATTATTTCGCTGCAAAAAAGATCAGTAAACAACAATTGTATTTGAGATCAGTAAATAACTATTGAAATAACGTATTGTTAGAATTAGAATGCCTCAGCACTCTGCTGAACACAGACGCGCATCAAAGCTTGACGTAAGTAAATTTTATGCATAAAGAAACCATTTAAGAAAAATTTTAATTTCTTAATAAGTCAATATTTAATATATGCACCCTTGTCAATATTTTACGCATCTTTGCATTCAGCAGAGTGCTGAGGCATTCAAATTCTAACAATACGTTATTATTTTAAAGTGCCCCTGTCACAAAATGAGAGTTTACATCATTAGAATCGTCTTGAAACGTAGATTATGAAAATACAAAACAGATTTAAAATTGAGCTTGTTTTCACAGAGTAATAAGGCA